TACACCTACCACATCTGACACAACCCCTTTATGCCCAGCAGATACCAGACACAACCCTCAGTGTCCACCACCTGACAACCCCTGTAAACCTACCATATCTGACACAACCCCTCCATGCCCACCACCTGACACAATCCCTCCATGCCCACCACCTGACACAACCACTCCATGCCCACCACCTGACACAATCCCTCCATGCTCACCACCTGACACAACCCCTCCATGCCCACCACCTGACACAATCCCTCCATGCCCACCACCTGACACAACCCCTCCATGCCCACCACCTGACACAACCCCCTCCATGCCCACCACAAAATACACCACCTAAACTATAACAGTTACCATCATTGAATGATTGGCAAGTGGAAAATGACAACTTACCATTTCAAAAAATCATCCAGTAAATCATTCAATCGTCCTTTCAGTTTCACATCTTCCTCAGTGTTGAGACTCGTTACTTGCGATCCTAAGCCATGCACATATTCAACTTTCACCTCGTCATTCAGCGCTTCTGACCAGCCATAGCGTCTCTCGAATAAATACAATGTAAATCTTTTCAAGTCTTCCACGTTTGTGAGTAGTTTCTCTGGTTGTTTTTCTGGGAAAGGGTTGATTGATGACGAGTCGTCGCCAAGAGTACTGCTCGCTAATTCCAACCATTCTTGCTCCAAGTCTTCAATAGATAAATTCCCTTTATCGGGGATAAGTTGTTTTTCCAAAGATCCTAGCGCATCTACCTCACATGAGGTACTCGTTGCTATAATCAAATCCTTAAGGGGAGTTTCCATGTTTTGCACAATTCTTTTCCCACCTTGTCAATGTCTCTATTCATGTAAACATTTCTGAAATAACAAAAAAATAAATATTTTCATATAATATTCAAATTTAAACAAAAGTGTATGAAAATGTTTTGGTGAATATAGAACATGTAATGTTCTGTTTCATTAACGAATGTTGATATGCCAAATAAAAAATGTATACGTCTCCCGTATAAATAGTCCTTGACTCTCAAAAATTTGACAATGGTGCTAGCCCAAAATCAAAATTAACTAAATTATAATTAGCATGTTTGTGATTGTAGCAATGTTCACGCCACTGTACATAAAGACGCACACTCACAAACTCTACAACATTCACTTGAGCATTACAGTGATAATAGTATTGAAGCAAATAGATGAAAACACTGGTCACATCATTTATGGAGACTGATGATTCAAAAGGTGTTAGGGATACCGAGTAGTTGTATTTAGTGTTCATTTTGATGTAATGTTTCTACATTTGCCGCTCTCAAAGCGCATAACAGTCAAATTAGTGAGAGACGATGCATGGACCCCATGGTATACATAAAAATGTAAATACAAAATCCAACATCCTACAACCCCCGTGGACTATTTTTAATATTGCCAAATCAGCAGGTAACTTTAAATCATATTTATTATGATTCCCGCATGAAACTACAGGGATAGAAAAAATGCATAATTACAGCAAGGGTAAATAATGATTTCCTCTGCCCAGGTTATAATAAAGTTTCTTACTTATATTTGATCAATTTTGTGAGTGTACGTGTATGTACTAAAATATAAATATATACACACATTAAAATAATTGTTTTATATCATTTCCATAGTCAAATTGGCCAGTACCGTTATATTAAAAACAGCATGAATAATAGACAGCAACACCTTCAACCAACTTGAAATTCCTCAAATACTGCCCACAGTTTTTTTGAACTATTACAGAAATAATTTCTTGTCTGCTTTTAATTGAATGTGAATTTTTGCAGAATTGTTTTTTTTTTTGGGATCATTTTTCTATTTGTTATTCAATCATTTTAATTCCCCCATGGGATTTTATGTGTTGCAATAAAGTATTGTGTTACCATTAAAATTATCCAAACTTCAAATGCAAACATAGTACACATGCAAAATAGGCAAAAGAATCGGGAGTGATTTGGGATTTGTAAAAAATAAGCCGAAATGCTGTGACACTATATCAAAATGGTGGTGGGAATTGCAAAGCGAAGGTCTATAGAATTGTGAACAAACATTTTTCGTGAATATCACTGACCTTCAAAAGACGCATGTCTTGTATTTAAACCAAAACAATTTTTAAAAACCCAGCTATTGTCACTTTATAAACGGAAAAGTCTGTTTAACAATGCTATCTATAGGTACTGTTGAATACATTAGTTTCATTTTGGGCTTAATTTCAACTTTTTTGCTGGTGGATTCAATAACTCCCTAAATAAAATCAACCCAACGAAACATTTATTCCCCTATGGTTTGCATGTAATCCTTGGAAAAAAATACATGTGTCGATCCACTCCAGCTAAAATTAAAGTATACAGTAAAGTATACAACCCAGAGAGGTAAATGTAATAATATTGTTTCATTCAGGAATTCAAATTTATTAAACTCAATTAATATAAACAACAGTACGACGCAAAATTAGAGACAAACTTCAAACGTCTATATTCTGAATTTGACGTTTGTCGACATCGGTTGCCATAGCTTTTTACACAACATACCGTCGAGCGACACACAGAAATGTTGCTAATATCTACAACGGCCAGTATTGGCTGTTCTGAGCAAGCATTACATTTACACCGGCTTCTACTCGAGAATCATCATAATATCATTGGAAACTAAGGCGCAGGTCTTCAAAGACGATCGGCACTGAATAAAACTTACGTACCCAAATCTACTGGCACATGAGTTCTCGCAGTAAGCAGTTCCATTCAACAGTTTCACACAAATTCACGGCAAGTTGCTTCGATGTCAACCCGAGCTTACGAAAATATCCGCCATTAACTACTTCTGATGAATTATCAGCTTTCCAACACTAGAGGGCGCCAAATCCTTCCAAAAACGTACATCGATCCGGATTGATCTCTATCACTGCAGGAGGCAAAAAACACTGTGGTGTGTCAATCGACGTTAGAATCAATCAATATATGAAATAAATAAATATATATAATAGAAATGAAAAGTGTGTGTTCGGTCTTACTATCAGAGTGAAGTCATCCCCTTTCCTGAGATAATTTCATATTCTAATTCATATTGATTCAGAAATTGTGTGTTTTGTTCATGTCGAATTGTGACGTAAATTTGTTCGTGTATAATATTTTGACATTCACTGCACATACCCTACAATGTTTGGGAAAGTAGACTGTATTGTTTTGAAGCATCTCTAGTAAATACACCGTGAAATAAAAATTGTGACATATATCTTCATCCACTCTACTCCAACCCTGTGGCAAAATGTGCAATATACACACATATTCCATTTGTCATCAACGTGCTATAACTTTTCATTGAAATTCTCTCAGTTCTGTTTTCAACTGGGTAGGTCCTTTATTATATTGTCTATTGTAGTGAGAATAACTAACCGAGGGGATAAAAATCTAGTCTATACTATCAAGAACGACCGGAGAATCCTCAAAGTTCTCTCCAAACATTTTAGCCTGACACGTAGGCGTGAGTGGGCCCTTACCGGCCGAACGGCATCAGACCTGACTGTTGGGCTTGGAGCACCGCGGTGGGCGCAACTCACGCGACCTTGTCAGGCTACCGGCATTTGAGTATGTGTGGCGAGATCTGATCTGATCTCGTCAGTGCTGCTATAATCAATCCGTGTTAAAAATACTTTTAGAAGACAGAATAGAATTTGTGTTCAATATGAACTACACTTTTTTATGAAAAGCCCTAAATATCTATCACTTCAAAAAATATTTTTCTACGGTAAAATACAAACAAATCTTCAAAAAAGTAATATATTTGTGGCAAAGAACAAATCAAATATTATCCAACATGTAGGAGAGTTCATAAATAATGCCTTTTACAGTAACACATGAAAATATATATGTAATTTTATCTACAGTCGTTTTCACTTTTATTTTATTCTTCGTTTATATATACTGTTAGAAACATGCGTATGTCCGAACTTGAAGATGCAATAAATAAAGTCATTATTATAATTATTCCATTCTGGCGATATAAGCGAGCCAAATTATATTTCCAGGTGAATTACTGACGCAGCTTTTGAAAGGCCAATAAACGCAGACATATTGTCTGAGAAGTGGAAGTATTATCCTTCCAACGTTCTATTTAATCCATAGCGTTGAATGTCAGATGATATCACATTATATGATTCACAATTTCGTCACACTGATTATGTTTCGACCGTGACCTGGACTGACGGGCGTGTATTGGTGTTTTCGTTCATCTGAGCATGCGCACATATCTATTCCATGCACGCAAACTTAAATAAGAAAAAAACTGATGAAATTTCAATTTATAGTTCGACAGAGGATAGTCGGTGAATATTGGCCATAATTTACGAAAGAATTTACCCTTCTTAGATTGGACACGTGGGAATACACAACAGTATTGTAAAAATGATATGGATGATGCTAAATAATGTATGTTGATGACGTAATTGAATGCAGTGATTGTTATTATACATGAGCGAACCAAAAACGTAAAAAGCTTTTGGTATAATCTCGCGCCGCGTCTTATGCGACATGGGACTCCTTTGCAAAAGAATCCATATAATAACTCGTTAAATGATATTATAATTGCTTTAAAAATAATTCAATCTGAATAATATTTAATTAATAAATGCTTTACATGTAACAACAATTGAAAAAGGCATTGTAATGGGATACTCAGGGAAGAGAAATAGTGGAATGTCACGAAACTCCTGGCGTAGAACATAGGAACAGAAAATGAAAAACAGTGAGCACAACTGGTACGACATTACCAGACTAGCCCAGAGCAGAAGTCTGTGGCCTTTGTGGCTCTACTGGAAGTTTGCTTACTAGTACTAACTATGAAATAATACCATGATTATGTGTTACCCATATTTCCGAAATACAAGAATAAAAAGTACTGAAAACAGTAGCAAGATATAAAATAAAATAAAATGGGAGTTTTGCTGATGCCATGTCAAATTTAGCAGGTAAAGCTGGAAAATCAATTTACATCATGAACTAACTACTTTTAGGAAATCTAGACATAAAACTAAAAATGCCAATTTTGCTTTATGGCTCAGAATTATGGACCTTAGACGTGCAGGTCATTCAGGACAATGCTGAATGGGACAACACATCATTGAAAAAAATCAATATTAAATTCTGCGAACAAATGTTACAAGTAAATACAAAATTCTGTAACTTAGCATGAACAGCAGAGGTGGGTCATTATGCACTACTGCTCAGTGCAAAAGTTCAACCTATTAATTACTGGTTGCATATAAAGGAACTACCAGATGATAATCTTACAAAACAGGCATACCTAGAACAAACACAACACAATACTATACAATACAAATGGCTATATGCAATACATACAATATTGAAAGACAATTCACTAAACTTCATGAAAGAAAAAAAGACTCACTATCAAACAAAAAAATCAAATTAACCAAATTTTCAAAACTTCCCTTGAAAATAAATATACCAGTTTCTGGAAAGAAATGATTTCCAAAGAAAATAGCAAACTGAGAACATATGCTAAATTTAAAGCAGAATAAAAGAATGCGCAATAACTGTGACACAAATTCAATTGAAGATGAAGAACATTTTCTATTGAATTGCCCAAAATATAACACACACAGGGAAAACTTCATCCAAAAAAAGATGACACTACTTTCATCCAACAAAAAAAAATATACAGTTCACATATATACTCTCAACCAAAGATCCTGGCATAATTATAGAACTTGCCAATTATATTTACACAACAAAAAGATTTATTTAACATTTAAATACTAGTTAAGTTCTTTTGTTTTGTTTTTTGTACAATTCTTACATATATCTTGTTTGCAATAAAATCTGTCTTGCTATGCATATTAGAAAAAAACAACACAATAAGTTATAATTCAAAGTATTCATCAACGTGTATTATCAAACAAAATGTTTTGATTCGTTCACAAAATATATTATGAACAAACTATTGTCAGTTGACCACGAATCCATCGTTTTAAATATGTTCTGTGCATTGAGTGTAACACGA